GAAAGAAGTATCCCAGTTTTGGAAATAACTTATGTGGTTACTTTAGCAGTGGGTATCAGAATACAACTATAGAAAACCACCCAGAAATACATAGATTGACAGAGATGAGGGAAAGGTATCTGTGGGCTACAACCCAGAAGCATCTATGGAAGTGGGGCACTGTGAGTCACAAGCTGTTCAGTAGAAGGTAAAACAGTTTAACAGCATCATGACTGGCTATGGGGAGGAAGCAGAACAGCCTGTGGCCTGTGAACATGAGAGTCAGAAGACGATAAGAACCCAGATGAGTAACTGTGGTCCTTGTGGTGGGCATGCAAAAGATGTTAACAAGCAGTATAATTCAGACTTTTTGGTCAGTGGTGAGAGAGGGCCAACACAGTGTTTCGGACCAAGAGAGCAATAGAAAAATATAAAAGTGGAAAGAAGAAAAAGAATATAATTCTAGACATGTTGAGCTCCTAATATCTATGAAAAAGACATCAAAGTAGAAATTTGAGAATTCAGTTTTATATGAGTTTGATGCTAGGAGAACCCCAGGTTTGAGAATGATTTTCCCAGAGGGCAAATTGCCAGCAATAAATGACTTGGGTAACTGAGTAAGGGCAAAAAATAGACCTTAAGAGAGACCAGTATTTCCATATGTTGGGCAGAAGGAAAAAAGAAAGCAAAGATGACCGGTGGAAAAGTATACAGTGCATTATAAAAAGACTTCCTGCCAGACACTTTCAACAGTGATGGCTGCATACAACCAGTAAGCCAAGGTGAAGAATTTGCTGGCCTTGACACATAAGAGCTCTTGATCAGCTCATACAGCAGCCGTGCAGTGGAGAAAACGTGGAATGCACCTGCCTTTAGGTTAGGGAAGAAAGAAGGTGAAAGAAAGGATGCACAAGAAGGAGCCCTTTATGGTCCAGTGGGGCACATACTGGCCATCTATGGTTATTTAGTTAGAAGTAAGTAAAATTTAAAAGACCCTCAGTGATATTAGCCACATTACATGAACCCAATAGCCCCAAGTGAATAGTGGCTCTAGTGATTTCAGTACAGTACAGACCTGGAATATTCTCATTATCACAGAAGTCCATTTGGACAGTGTTGTAACTTGTAGTAGAACTGGAAAGATGCAAGAGTGTGACAGACCTTTTGTATCAGAAGAGGCTCACAACCAAGTCTATCCTCCAGGACCACTCATACCTTCAGTGAGTGTGTTTACAGCCTGTGAGGCACAGAACAAAGAAAAGCAGCACATAGGAAAGGTTAGAGGTGTTAGAAGGACTGTCAGGGTTGACCATAGAGTACACTGGAGTAGGCATAGTACCTGTTCATAAGTAGATATTAAAAGACAGGTAGGCCAATGGAAAAGAAGAACCGGAAATAACCCAGCACTACGACAGCAACCTAGCTTTTAAAAAATATTTGGAATTTATTCTTTGACCATTTCATGTATGTATCTATTTCATTCTGTTCATCCCTATTACCCTCTTTTATGTCACTGCCTCTAGATCCCTCCTTATTCTCAATACTTCTTCCTCCTACTTTCATATCTTTTTTTAAGGCCATACTGAGTGTAATTTGCAGTTGCTTGCATGAGCATGTGTACATGAATATTATTAACTGGGGCATGGCCTACTTACTAATGGCTACACCAGTGAAGAAAATCGGCTCCCTCCTCCAACAGCCAATAACTGCCAACAGCACCTCATCAAAAGGTGGAGCCTCCTGAGCCCTCTCCCATTCATAATGGAATGTTAAAGGGTTCAATTTATGTGGGTCCTGTCTAGATAACCACAGCCACTCTGAGCTCATGAGTGCAATTGCTATGACATGTCCAGATGACAGCTTTTCACAGCATTCCTCCCATCTGCTGGCTCTTACAGTCTTTCTAGCACCTTTACTATGATGGTCTTGAACCTGTTAGGTTGTGATATAGATGACCCATTTAGGGGGAGCACCCAACAGTCACTTATTCTCAGCACTTTGACTAGTTAGAAGTCTCGGCATTAATCACTGCCTACTGCTAATAAAAACTTCTCTGAACCAGGCTCCGGCTGAGAGCATCACTAATCTGGTATGGGTGTATCTTTCCTCCCCCAGCAGCCTGCATAGCACTCACTAACATTATGAAAGCATTATTAGGGAAGAAGTTTTCAGCTTAGATCCAGCTTGATTTCTCTATGTTCTGTAACCAACGTGAATGATGTTTTCAGCAATAAGGTCTTATCATCTAATTCCGGTGGGCAACCAAGAGCAGTGCCAAATTATAGGGAGGAATCCTATACCTGGCACTGGGATTTTTGTTTAATAAACAGTGGCTTCTGGGAGCAGCATTATCCACTCATGTCTGATACCTTAGTTCAAACTCTTTTTAAATTGTGCTTTTATTTTGAGACAGGGTCTGCTTGTAGCCCCAGATGGCCTGTAGCTTGCTATGTAGATCATACTGGTTTCAATCTCATAGAGATATACCAGCCTCCTGAGTACTGGGATTAACAAGTACTTCCACCAGGCCCATCAAAAAAAAAAAACAACAACAACAACAAAAAAAAAAAAAAAAAAAACTGTGCTTCTTAATTAGCTTAGAAAGCAAATGGCTTCATCATACATTCTTCGTTTGGGCTAACCCTCCTCCTCAACTCTCTTTTTTATTCTCCTATCCCTCTACCCCCACTTAAACATTCTTTCATTTTTGAGAAAGGGATCAAAAGGTACATTGAAACCTCTTCAGTAAATGGTGTTAGGGAAACTGAATATCCACATGTAGAAGAATTAAACTAGATCCCTCTCTCTCAACCTGTAGAAAAATCAACTGAAAATGAATCAAAGACCTTAATGTGAGACTGGAACTTCTGAAAATGCTAAAGTAAAACACTTCAAGATATAGACATAGGCAAAAGAGAGAAGAACTCCATCAGTTTGGGTAATTATAGCAAGAATCAACAATTAGGGTTATGTGAAATTAAACATCTTCAGAGCAGCAAAGGAAGCCATCTGCAGAGTAAAGAGGCTGATTACAGAACAGGAGAAAATCTTTTCCAGCCAATTTCTTCTGTTTATGTCTTACCCCATCTAATGTATTCATCAGACATGTTTTCTAAGTAGAGATCTTAATGTGCCTGAGAAAAATGGTTAACATTTCAGAATTCCATCAATCCAGGACTAACCATGAGGAGAGAGAGAGAGAGAGAGAGAGAGAGAGAGAGAGAGAGAGAGAGAGAGAGATTCCTGCATGTGAGAAGCAGTGAGATAGCCATCTAGTGGTCTCTGGAGCTATGTTCTCACAAGTCAGTGCAACCAGTGTGCAGCCACACCTATCACATTATCTTAAATTCCACTCTCCTATTACAAAGATAATTTTAAATGATGATTTTGAAGGAACAGCAGTGCTCTGTTTTAGGTACTCAACCACAGCTTTTAGATGTTTACTGACAAAGCCAAATGACTGTGCTAGGTTCTTAGTCTGTGTTCCCTCATCCTTATTAATCTAATGATATTGATTCAAGTTTTAAACCATTTGTTTTATCTCTTCTTAAAATAATAATATATTTTATTTTGTATATAGAATGTCTCATTATGCAAGCATATTAAACTGTTCATGCTTATTGAGAGAGACAGAAGAATTTAGCTATAATGGATTAATTTCTTCTGTAAGGCAGAATGTAGCTGTGCCCTAACCAGTTTGTTTGAGTTATGATTTGTTTTGTTCATTTTAAAGAGATTGTCCCATTACTTGTTAATTGTTTTCTGATTGAAGATTTCACCTGGGATAAGCTGATTTCCAGGGCAGGAATTGTAAACCTACTTTGAATTGTTAAACCAAGATTGTAACCATGAGAAGTTCTGTTAGCATCATTTTGGAAAGATTTCATTTCCCCTTGCTCCAATTTCTTAAGAATATATCTTCACTGACTTATATCATAGCTAAACGATTTGCGATTTTTGTTTCCGAATATCCATGAAAATAGTTTTATAAATGTTTTGTAATGGTGCTATGAATGTAATTAAAGTGTTGGCAATAGGACTCTATAATCATGATTTCTTAATTACCAGCCTTTAGAATAGGGTGAGGAAAGACAGAACTTGGGGGTTGCCAGGAGGCTGCATTTATGTTCCCATTTGCACAGTTGATATAATGGGTTTGACTGTGTAAATGATGAGGATTAAGATGCTTCATGAACTTTCTTTAGACATATTTTTACAAGTGATATGTTTTCATGAAATGGGATTGTCCTACCCTTGTTCAATTATTGATATAATGATAAAACATATTTAATGATGAATCATCTAATGATTTTTTTATCTTTATTTCCAACTGATTTTAAAGGATTCTTTGACCACAAAATAATTCCTCTGTAACTGTTCATTCCTTGCTCAAAAGGATCTATTGGAACTACTTACAACAGCACTACTAGCAAAATCATAAGGCTGGCTTCTCAGTTGCCAAATGGATGCATATCTGAGAGACTGGTTGTGTTTTACAGGGTCTTCTTGAAATATAGATTTAATTCCTTGTGGCTTATGCTTTAATGGTTTTTTTTTTTAAAAAAAAACAAATTCACAGTGTTTGCTTCTGAAGACAGCTTTCTCTAATGCAGCCGTTGATACTCTTTTAGAATTCTGATGGATTTTCAATTTCCACATCAATTTAATTATGCTGTGAAGTCTAGTGATTGAAGTGTGCCATACAGTCACATCTGAATTATTTTGTTTTGTTTCTATTAATATATAGTAGGCATAATATGTGAAGTAATAAGAGTAGATGGCATAAAAATGGAATGTAAAAATCTGTTAAGCTTCTCTCTCTTTCCTTCTCTCCCTCTTTCCCTTGCTCCCGTTCCTTCCTTCTCTCTCCCTCCCTCCCTTCTGTACTTGGAGTATGAGAACAATTTTGTTTCTCACTTACTATGCAGAATCAATAAATGATTTTTTAAGGCATCAGATTTTGTAAATGTTACAAATGTTATGAACACTCTGCCTCTTTCTCTTTTCTCCTTTTTCCACAGGTGATTTCTATTCACTACTTTCCAAGCTGCTAGGAGAAAGGGAAGATGTTGTTCATGTGCACAAATACAATCCTACAGAAAAGGCAGCAGCAGATCCAGACCTGGTAGCTGAGATTGCAAACGTAGTTCAAAAAAAGGATCTTGGTCGGTCTGATGTCAGAGAGGGTACCGAGCAGGAGGAGAGGGGCGATGCTATTCTTGTCAGAGACAGAATTCACAAATTCCACAGACTAGAATCTACTTTGAGGCCTGCTGAGAGCAGAGATTTCTCATTACAGCAGCCTGGGAAAGGTACCTGGGAACCTGAGCACACAGGAGGTGGGTTTAGGGTGTCTTTTAAGAAATAAAGTATAAAACATGCAGTCCACATTAGCAAAACCTGAAGGGAATAAAAATTAATAAGTAATAAAACCAATAAAAAGGGCTTATTGGCCAGGCATCAGATCACACACCTGTAATCCCAGCATTCAGAAAGCAGTGGTGGGTGGATAGCTGTAAGTTCAAGGCCAGCGTGGCCTGTGTAGCAAGGTCTAAGCCAGCCAGGGCTACATAATAAGATGCTGTCTTGCTAACAAAGCAAAACAGAAAACAGACTTATTGGAGAAAACATTACCAGATTTGATCTATAATCAAATACCATACTTGTTTTGAAGAGATTTTTCTCTTTTTGTTTTGGTCCAGTACTACATAACTTCAATATTTATTCTATAAGTAAACCCAAACTATAAGGACCAAAAATACTTGAATCATTTTCGAAAAACTGATATATGAAATTCAGAGTAACAAATCAACATTTTCTACTTTGCTCAATGGAAATAAATTGAAAAGCCAAAACCTCCCCTGCACATCCCAGTGGATGCAATACGTGCACACGATCTTCTTCTAAGGTAATTAATTTCCTCTCAAAGGAATCTAATATTCTCAACTCTCATCCAGCCTACTTGCAAAACGTAACCATTTTATGACTTTGATTTCTTAAGTTCCATTATCAACTGCTATCATATTTGAAACCTGAGTATATATTTCTGAAGAGACCTCCAGTAAGTCAATAACTATCAGAATATATTTCTAAACATAATTAGAGGACAATACCTTATTCCCTTCAGGTTTCTGGACCAATAAGCCTCACCTTTGTCTTTAATTATGTTGTGGCCTCTGTGATATTGATTGTGTTTTGTATTACTTGCTAATGTGGAAAGCCAAATAATACAGCATGTGGAGAGAATCTCCAAAAAAGTAACGGATATGCGTGCATGGCAGCTGTCCATGTGTGGGCGCAAATGGCACAAGCTGCCAGCTTGATGTTTTCAAATTCAGCTTTGCAGGAAGCCATGAATTATTCAACACCCAGCTGATTTTTATTTATAATTGAAAAAAATTAGCATGTGGTGCTTTTTGCTCACATGGAAGTTTCAAGCATTGTCCAATGGGACTGGCCTAATGGTCTGTATGAGGTGTTAAGTGGGGCCAAGACTTAACTCTTCATATTTTAACAGGTTTTAACTCATTCCAAATTTGTCTAATTAAACTGTTTCTCAAGAGGTGGTCCCAGGACTCTCTTGCCTAAGACTCACCTAAGAGTAAGAAAAAAATTGACTTTCTGTATCCTATGAAAGAACAACTGGACTGGTATCTCTGAGTGTGGTACTTAGAAATATTTGCTTTATCATACCCTTGTCTATTTCATAATCCAGAGTATCTGTCTGAACCTCTGTGTCAAGGACATGCATATATAAAAGTCAAAAGGGCCTCTGATGAGAGCTCAGTTCTGTTCGCTTGTGAAATATTAGCACTGCTGCTGCTTTAGTTCAGGACTTACCTTTTCACTCTTGGATTTGAAATATCATAGTCACTTTTAATCATCATAAGTGTCTGCGTAAAAATTAAGAGTTTGGGAGCTGAAGAAATGGCTCAGTGGTCAAGAGCAGGCACTGCTCTTACAGAAGACCCAGATTTGGTCCTCAGCACCCACATCAAGTGGTGCACAATTGCTTGGAACTTCAGTTCCAGGGCATCTGACACCCTCTTTTGGCCTTGTCAGGCGCCCACATGCACACAGTGCACGTGCATACATGGAGGCGCTCAGACATAGAAATAAATTGGAAGCGAACTTAAGGCCTTTTCTTTCTAAAACCTTGTAGTTTGTCTAAGAAAGATCCTAAAATGTAGAAAATACATTTCTTTGCTATATCTTCTCCTGTTTTCAAAGGTAGTCACATGGCAAAGCTGAGAGAAAGAATTTTCTCCAGGGAAGTTGTTTTCCTTCATCTTCCGTATGTGGGTAAATGTCACTAAATTTAACAAATCAGAGAGTCGTAGGCAGTACAACTAACCATTACTGAAAGAAAGTATGTATGTGTTTCCTTTCTGAAATAGCTTATTTTAATGGTTTTTTTTTCAAGATTCTAACTCAAAATCTTGAAAACAATGCAAAACAGTTATTTGATGAATCTTGTTACACTCTTTCCCTAATCTTCTCTCCCTGTTTTTTGACATGATGCAGTATATAACTGTTTGCTCCTGGGTTATTTCATTGAGTAAGTTAAAAGAAGACCTCTCAGCAGCATGTTTCCATTTTGCAAAAAGAAAGTAGGAAGTTATCCACATATAATGTCCCCATGAGATGTATTATTAGTCTGATTCATGTGGCTTTCTCAGGGTATTGGCAAGGAGAATAAATGTGATGGATAATGTTCTCTTGTTTTTCTTCTGCCCTTTCTTTACTCCAGGCAAAGCAGAGAATGGCCCTAATGGTCTCGAGGAATTAACTAGTCCCTTTAAGTGCCTAATTAACTAGAAGAAATTGTATTAGTTGGAAAGAAGAAAATAACTTTTTATGTGGCATTTTACTAAAGCAAAAATGCAAAGCTATTGTGTCATTTAATATTATAGCTCATAGTCATTTCAGATATCTTCAAGAAGTATTAATTTCCAGAAGACGAAACTGAAGCCAAGAGAAGTTAACCTATTTGAGTGAGGTCCCAGAATTTAAATTTAAAATTTGGACAGTATGCTTTCCAATATGCACTGTTTTTCATTCCTTAATTTCAACCTATTTCAGCTCAGTTAAAGTGAGATCGATTTGCTTGTCCAATTCAGACTTTCCTGGACTCCTGGCCCCTCCCTACTGAGAGGTTGGAGATTCTATTTGGGACCCTGTTCTTTTGTCCCCAGGTTTTGGTATCTGTACAGTCTGAAGAAAACTGATCCTCACTTCCTCAGAAGCCATTCACTGGTTGTAGCTCCTCAACTAAGGGTGGAACCTTGTGAGCCCTTCCCCCATCCATGCTGAAATGTTGACTGATGTGGTTTTGGACTTATCTCGTGCAAACAGCCATAGCCATTGAGAGTTCCTGAGTCAAGCATCCCTGCAATGTCCAGAAGACACTAGTTTGTAGCAATCCTCCTGGTCTTCTGGCTCTTACAGTATTTCCACCTTCTCTTCTGAGATGTCCCCTGAGCCTTGGGTATAGGAGTTCTGTTATAAATGTCTAGTTAGGGGATTAGCACTCCACAGACACTTATTCTCTGCATTTTGACTAGTTGTGGTCCTCTGTAATAATCGCCATCTGTTGCAAAAGCAAGCTATTTCGATGAGGGATGAGAGCTGCACTACTCTATGGGTATAAGGATAAATATTTATAAGGCAGTTGTACACTGTATCAGTTTAGAAGAATGACAGAAGTAGATTCTCTCTAGGGCAACCTCTCAAGTCATAGGTTCTTGACTAGGTTTACGATACCGCCCCCTACTGAACAGGCTTTAAGTACAATCAGAGAGCTGTTGGTTGCTCCAAAGATATTAGTACACATTGCTGGGCTAATTGTTATTGCAGTTCACAGGAGCATCTAGTAGCTTGTGTTTTAGTTGATTCCAGATCCAATCATGTTGACAACTAAGATTAGCCATCACGCTCTCCTAGCATATTTTCTTTCTATGTAGGAAGGGGCAAAATTTCATACATTAGTAAGCTGAGAAAGTATTTGCTAATAATGTTTTGTGATAATGGGAGTCTGGGGTATTCAAATCTCTGGATCACTTACATTGATCTATTTTGGTGTTTTATGTGATACATGAAGTACAGTATGAAAATATTCAACATGGCAAGTGAGAGACAAATTTTCTCTGTTTATACTTAATATTGTAAAGTTTCTGTCATTAGTAGTTTAAAATCAGGATTGAGATAGCATTAAAAGAGTAGAAACAAAATCTTAGGTTAGCTTCTGGAAACTAGGCTTATTGAACAATCAAAAAGAAAAAAACATTAAAGATAGTTCTGGTCAGTTTTAGCTGGCGTATTTTATCATACTATTCTGTACTGTGTATAGAAGGCTGATTTGGCCATTGAAAACCTCTGTATATTATAAAATACTTCTACATTTGTATGACCTTTCTTACTCAAGATGAGAACTCAGAAGGTCTTTTTATGATTCATTACGTTCTTCATTAATTGCTAAAATCAACTTTTCATTTTGAAATAATTTTTCAGATACTATGATAATATAATGTTTTGGTCACACTAAGGCTTTGACACTACATAGTAAGTTCCAGGACAGCTGGGGCTACAGGGAGACCCTGTCTCAAAAAGACCAAATATATACATATATACATATATATGATTATAATTTAAAAACACTTGCTATTAAACTCATTCTGCCAGGCTTTTGAGGCTCTGGCTATAGTTTACCTCTTTTCCTTCATTCCCATTAAATGAAACAGTCTACTTCTTATTTTCTTTTTGACTGGATATAAATATTCTTTCTGCTGTTTTGGTTAATTATAGTTATTTCTGGCACTTCTGGTGAGTAATAACCCCTGGCAAACATAAAGTATATCTCCTCCACTGGTGGAAATTGGCAAGTGGAGGAAAAGCGGGCACCACATTTTGTTTTTGTTGAAATGCTGTAGTGATTTGATGCAGCTTTTTTGTTAGGACTAAATGTGAAAAGACTTGTTATACTGAAATTACATCATAGCTCTGGGCTTAAGTTTTAGCTATCTTAAGTTTTATCTAGCTCTGTCGGTCCTTCTGTAACACAGATAAATGAATGCCCTTTTAAATGCTTGTTAATAATATCATGTGAAAGTGCCATTGATCACTAACATTAATCTCTTTCTTGGCAAGCTGTAAAATTCTTTTAGTGATTTATTAATATAATTTTAATAGTAATGTTCAGTTTTTCTAACAGTAATTGTTTTAATCTGTGGCAGACTATGAGGCTACACATTTACCTTTGTTTGTAATAAATGCCAAGTACTCCTCATAGAATAATAAAATTTATTTGTTGTGAAAATCTTATATGTCATTTGGAAAGAATGTCATTTAAAGTCTCAGGAGGGTGGTTTTTAATTTTGATAGGGAGAGGGGGTCATCTCTGAAATCACAATGACTTTTATATCAAGGTTACTATCATGTATAGCTAATATGTATTTATTTTTAAAAAAGCATTGCTTCCTTTTATATGTTTTCAAAACGGATTTTGCATGGATGGGGGAGGGGGACTAAATTTTATTAAAAACTGTTATATGAAATTACAAAAGGTAAATCAAAAAAATTTTTAATAAAAATAATCTTAACCCAATTATTTGCCATCTGCGTTTAGAGAACACACATTTAAGAGTCAGGGATGGCTACCCAAGAGCATAGGTAAGAAATTTTTATCTAATTTTTCATTAAAACCATAATTCTGCAACATTTAACTAGTCACACATTGAATCATTTCGTACGGAAAGATTAAGATTAAATGGAATCTGAAGTACAACTGTTTTTTTCTTCTGTGATTTAAAATGTTAAAGATTGAACTCAAATTTATTTTATCATACAATTTCTTTGGTAAGGACTTGAAATGTTCTTAACTTCATGTTTAGAGAAAAATTTTCCTTGATATTGGGGTCTAAAGTCTCACTTGAAGCTGAATTCCCTTTCTGTCAAATGAGGAAATAACACGGAATGATTCTAGTCCAGTTGAAGAGTTCTGATTCTTGTGTATTGAGTAACAGGGTTGGGAAGAGCAATCAGTATTAACTCCATTCATAAATTATTCCTAAGTAACTTTATTTTTGATCATTTAGTCCTAAAGGAAGAAATTCTTAGCTACTTAATAAGGAAAAAGGTAGTTACATTGGAAGCAAAACATCAATTACTTGATCCAGTATTCACCAATAGAACATGAACTCAGTTTCTTTTTACTCTCCTAGAATTTCTGGTTAATACAAAAACCCAGATACCTAAAGTTTTGACATCTTATATAGGTAGTCTTAATGAATTATAAAGCAACTTTAAATGAACTTAAAATGAGCTCTCCAAACATTTGGTAGTAACAACCAGGTTCATGATATTAGTTCATTTGTTTAAAAATCACCTTTTCTCTATTGAAATTTTACCAAAATGAGATGATTCAATACATATTTTCTAGATAGTTACATATTTACACTGCCTTTTCCTTTTTAAATTTTGTATTGTTTATTTATTTTGAGAAAGGGTCTCCCTCTAGCTTTAGCTGGTCTGGCATTCACTATGTAGACCAGGCTGGCCTCTGTCTCACAGAGATCCACCTGTCTCTGCCCCTGAGTGCTGGGATAAGAGATGTGTACCACCATACCCAGCACTTTATAATAATATTTAACCATATGTGATTAATACTTTTTATAGTTGGCATGATCATGCTCAAAACAACTTATATATCTAATGCTTATTGCAGACTGTCCATTTAGCCAAATAAGGCCCTCTGATAGTTGGGACTATTCACAGTCAGATTAAAGTTCTTTATGCAGTATTCCAATATTTTATTAAATTTATACTTGATGCCAAAACAATGCAAGCTTTTGCACACTGGATATTTTCTATCAGAATTAGTGTGTACTCTCAACACCACTTAGATTCCAGTACATCTTGGTGGACTACATAATCAAATATTACAGGAATCATGACATGCCCATTATCTTAAATGAGAGAAGTTAGCAAAATCATGTTTTTATCAAGTAGTCTCACATTATGATGGACACTGATTTAGGAAGTAAAAAGAGGTAGTACACATGAATCATAAGTAAGGCTATGTAAATGCTGTCAATGTAAAAACTGGAGCATGGAGTTCCGCTTAGTGCATTTATTAGGCCATACAATGACTGGGCCTTGGTGAGATGTAACAAAACAGTGAAGTCCAGTTGAAGTACTTCTGGGCTCTGAGAACCTAATGAAGTCAATTCAATGCCTGCATTGGTGCTTGCTTTGAGACTCATGAGGGGTACATCCAGAAGTCCCAGGAATTGGTGACTAAGCATAGAGTAGCGACAAGTAAGTGGATAAACTACGAACAAGAAGAAAATGAAGTACAACCCGAAATCCAAGCAACTATAAACATTTTCTTTGGGGGATGATATATCCATCTGTTTATCTGTTTAGGTAGCTCTAATTATAATGCTTATACTCTGTTTCTAAAGCTAACTTTCAAAGGCACAGATTAATCATGTCACCCAATGCTTAAAAACCATCAGTGACACACAATTGACTGTAGCAGTAATTTCCAATCTTTTCCCCTGTTTTGATGAGCAAGTGTGATGGATGATAGATGCTATTTATTTAAGAGTTTCATTGACACCCACTACTATAACCAGGGTTATTTGCAAATTCAACCATACTAGCTGAAACTCTGCCCCCCTTTTCTCTATCCTAAGAGGGCCTATCACAGTACGCATGAGAGAAAATGACATCAGCATGTACCCAAATATATTTCAAATTAAAATTTTTCCCAGCTCTGTGCTTTATTGATATTGATAAAGTGCTTGCATCATGCCTTAAAAATAAGGCACCACAAGGGACAAAATTGGCATTCCCATTATAAAATCCAGGTTCCTTTGTGTGATCTTCAATGTATTTTCCTGTCTGAGTTCAATCCAGATCCAATGGATGGCTTATGCTGCCCCCAGCCTGGCACAGCCACCTCATACACAGGATTCCTGTCCAGATTTGTAAACATCTTGAAGTACATTTTGTAGTTATAAACTGTTAGGGTTCCAAAGAGCAGCAGTTTCCCCCCTCCCCAACAGGGACCTCACCTTGACCTTTGGAGTCAAGGGAAACAAACTCTGCTGAGAAGCAGCCTGCCTCTCCTCTGACCTCCAAAGATAAGCAGATTCTACTGTGGTCCCAGTGATTGTGAGGCTTTCTCCTGATAAAGCTCATTCTGAAGGATATGTCCCTGTCAGTTCCCTCCCAGAACCAACCAACCTTTTGTTCTCAAATGACTCAACATGTCCAGCTCTTTTCCCCTCCATAAAAGGAGTACTTCATTTGGTCCAGCTGGACCCTGGACATGGGGGGCATGCTTATTAGCCTTCCCTTCCCTTCCCTTCCCTGCTTTCCCTTCCCTTCCCTTCCCTTCCCTTCCCTTCCCTTCCCTTCCCTGCTTTCCTTTCCCTTCCTTTCCCTTCCCTGACATCTTTCCCTTCCCCGAGGGAAAGGTTCCCCGTGCGAAATAAATCTGTATCCCACTGAGAAATCCATCTGTGCCTCCTCGGTGCCTCCTCCATCCGCTCATGCTCGCCACCCGCCGCCTGCTCTCTCCAACATTCATACCTATCATAAACATCCTCACTTTCCTTCTTTCTGACCAAAATATTATCTGCCCACTTCTAAACTCCCATCAGCCTCTGTTCCCCCATGCTTATCTTGAAGTACCAACACAGATGTTTGTCTGCTCTAGACCTTCTGGGGAGGCAACTCACTCCATCCTGGCATCCTATGCCAGTGGAAGTCTCAGGACAGACTATGGGACTGCCACTATGTTCTTTTGTTCTTTTGTTTCATGAGTATTTAGTTCCTCCTTTTTAAATTTGTATATCTATCTTATATTTTGTATCCTTATTATTGTTTGTATTCCTCAAGGCAAAGAGCTGCTTTATTTCTTTATATGCACATAATCTACTATAATGCCTTGTAGAGAACACACTTATCTGTTGAAGATGCTTTATTAAAGGTTATCGGTAGAACTTACATAGGTTGTTTTAACTTATATAAAGAACTATGCATATAAAGGTAAAAAATGTTTTGAGTAGGAAGTTACCTTTCCTTTTGTAGAATTGAGAAAATTAGTTTTAAGTGCGTATTCTCACATTGGCATCCTCTGAAGTATTTGGGTGCCTATCATACAAGCTCCGTGCTCTGGCTCCTCTTCCAGTCTTTAATGACTGTCTTTGAGGGTTTCATTGCATGCTGCCAGATCCTTTAGAGAGTGGGGGAGGGGAATGAAACTTGCATTGCTGCTTTTATATTTCTCAGTATCTCTGTTTAAGCATTTGAGAAGGAAAAAATATTAATACTGATATAGTAGCTTTTAAGGTTATCTCCATAATTACATGTGGTCAGTAGGGAAAATATTGTAATGCCATACCTGTTTACTCATGAGCATGTATATAAGATGGATTAACACAAATGAATCACGTATTCTCTGAAGGTAAATCTGTTCTGATCAGAATTACAAATAATTTGGAAATCAGTCTTAGAGTTTCTTTCATGTTACCTTTCATGTTAGAAAACAATGAAATACACATACACACACACACACACGTGTGTGTGTGAATAGAGTATTCCAGTTTTTATAGGAATACTGAAGCTAAGAGAGGTGTCTTACATAGTTCCATCTACAATGGATAATCAATAAATGACTTATCATAGGAACTATTGTCTGTTGAACATCCAAAGTGTGTGACTGGGTTATTGATCATTTCTGCCACTTATTTACATTGAAGTGTTACGTATAAATGATACCCTTGATTTTGCAATAGTTTTCAGAGATATTAACTTGAAGTAAGAATGTTATAAAGGAGGTAGCAGTTTAAAATTGGCTCTTTTATAGTTTCAGGGTTCTCTGATTTTATAGGCATCTTATCAACAGGAAAAGCAGGACAGGTTCACAGTCATTTTAACCATAGCTTAAGAAGCCGCTTGGCATGTGCATGTGGTATATTTTATGTAGAGCATGGCTTGATTGTTTTCAGTTTCCTTGCATGAGTTCTTATACCCATTATAGGTTGTTGTTATCCTTGTTTTTATTTTTATACTGAATGTATGTATGGATTTATCTTTTAGATTTCCATGTGGAGGAGGCACTGGACTGGCCTGGAGTATACTTATTACCAGGCCAGGTTTCTGGGGTGGCACTGGACCCTAAGAATAACCTAGTGATTTTCCACAGAGGTGACCATGTTTGGGATGGAAAGTAAGTTTTTTTTTTCAAAATGTAAATGAAAATAAAACACTATAGATTAGTTTTCATTAAATTAAGACTAATCATGGGTGAACTCTTACTTCCTTTTTATTTTGATGTTCTGTAAGAATTCTGAAGAAGTGTGGGTATGTCTAGCTGGAAATGTGAAAATCGGATGGCTTTCCTTATCTGATGTTAGTAGCCATTGATAGTTATTTCTATAATTTCTTACTCACTAATGACATATGGAATGGATACTCAGATTCTCACATAGCATGTCTTTGTTCTCCCTTTCATCTCTGTGCTTTCAGGAACTATGGTGAGAGATAGATCTTACATTTCCATACCATCCTGTATATTTCTGAACGTGATTTTTATGTGGCAAATGTAATTTGTTATTTTAATATACAACTAAGGTAATTAGCATAGAGGAAATCTTGTGCATTTTAAAACAAAATAGACTCACATGCTAGTGGTCTCACCAACAGGCTGAAACAACATACAATTCTGTGTAGTTATTATTTTGCTCCTTCCTTGAAACATTTTTAATAGTTCAGTCAGTACATTGATGAAACATTTCAAGACTTCAAAGAAGTAGTCCACATAAGCAGTCAGCTAAGAAAAGTTACCAGTTGATGACAATAAAGCATTTTGTTATTTTCCTGCCTATGTGCAAAGCGACTTTATGGAGGAATTTGGCTACCAGGAGTGTGGAAATCATCAGTGCCATGGCTATCACAATTTAGCATAGATTAATTTATTACATAAATTTATTCTTTTCATGAACATGAAAGACTTAATTTTTAATGCTGCTGCTTTTTTTCCTACATTTCCTTTCTCAGCCTTTTTTCTTTTCTTTTTTTTTTTTTTTTTGTCTTCATTATCTTCTTAGACTTTTGGTAAGCATGTCTAACATTTTGTTTACTACAGGTCTGTCAGGTTCTAAATGAACAGTCACTGTTATCATTGTTAATCACATTTTACAGATGAAAACCAAGTTCTTGGCCCAGTGTCACATCAGTAAGTGACAAAGCCAGGCTCCAAGTCCTTTCCATCTAACAACAGACTTGGCCCTCTTAACCATTCAGTGACACTTAGCGACACTGACCTTAAAATAGGTTTATTAAAACATGGTTTTTTTAAAGTGTGCTCCAAAATATAGCATATTTTTTGTTCTTCTTACTGATGAATATCTGTTATTTCTTTTATTAATATGTTTGCACATGAAGGTCCATTTTAAAACTATTTTCACTGATTTGAGAATTTCATACAATGCATTTTGCTCATATTCAGACCCCTTTCCCCCAACACCACCTCATGTCCTCTATTATTGCTTTTTTTAAAGGCCTCTTGTGCCTAATCTGTGTTCCCCAAATGCCCTAGAGTGTGAGTCTATGCCTTGGTCAACCTACCAGGCATCACACCAGCAAGGAAAACTGACTCTCCCTCTCCCGGCATCTAGCAGTTGCCAGATGCTCCTCAGCTAGGGCCAGGGTGTTCCTGCCCCCTTCCCCTATTCCAAGTTGAGCCCCTTTTTGGCTTAGGCTTGCACATGCCTTTGATATGTTATAATTAGTGCTGTGGGTTTGTATGTGCAACTATCCTGTGGTGTCCAGGCAACAGTTTCCTTGTAAGTGTTTTAATGTTTTATTAATGAAGTCTAAAGAATTTTCTCATTTCACATGCACAACTGTAAGAGTCCCTTTTGGGAAACTGAGGATCTTCATGTGTAGTTCAGTTATTTTTCCTCCATTTTCTGAAATCTTGATTAAAATTATGATAATTCACTCTGTCAGAGTACATATAGCCATGTGTGGTGGCACATACCTTTAATCCCACTTGGGGACAGAGGCAGGTAGATGGATCTCTGTGAGAGACCAGCCTTGTCTACAGAGCAAGTCCCAGAATAGCTGGGGCTAAAAACAAAAACTAAAATTAAAAAATAAATTAAAAAAGACATGCATATATATATATAATTTTTGTGCAGTTAAAGATGAAATTCAATCAGCATTTCAAAGTAGATTAGTAGCTTTGTTACTGTTTAATTGTCCTTTTTAGTTGTTGCTTGAAAGTGGACTCTCAGAGATTATTTGAAAGACCAAAGCAAGGACTGGAACTCAGCATTCCCATCGTGCATCTCTGTTACATCGACTTAGTTGTTATTGAACAGCTAATGGTATTTTAAGAAGTGCTTTTAAAAGCAAACTATTCCTACTCATTGTAGCATATTCTTCATTTTAATGAATGTTCCTACATTTTCTGCATGGATTTCTTGCCACATTTTGCCAGACAAGAAAATTACAGCATCATTTTCTCCCACTGATACTGTTTCAGCTGGCCAAAGCTGAAATTGGACAAAGTCCAAGTTTCTATTTTAATATAATGCTCATTCCAAGTAAACAGCAGAGGCTGGACTAGTTTAATAGGAAAAAGGGGGTCATTAGAGACCAGTGTGGGGAAGGACATGACACAGGCCCGTGAAACCAGAGCCATTAGAAGAGGCATTCTGTGACCTATATGGTAGTTCTGTCTGCAACACGGCTTTGTCCTGGCACTTAGCTTCATCTAGATCCTCAGAATCACAAGGAAGATTCAGTGCCAAGCCCTGGTGTGTTTGCCCTGGTAAATGGCATCTGAATATGGATGCTTTTGAAAATGCAGCACTAAAGAAGAAACTGCTGCTTTTACTCACTGTTTCACCTTTCCATTTGTACTCTTTATATGTGAGGCCATTCATTGTCTGTCTTTCTCTTTCCCTCTCTGGCCTTGTCCTTTGATCATAGCCGCCTTGACAATTCGCAGTTTTAGGGAAATTCTTTTGGAGCCCTCAGAGCTTTGCTTCCAGACTCTTCGTGCTTTATTATTCATGAAGAGAGTTAGAAGATTACTCTGTAGTGTTTTTGTTTGTTTGTTTTTGTTTTTTTGTGTTTTTTTTTTTTTGCTGTTTACACACACACCAAAAAAAAATCTATTTAGATTTTTTCAAAGAAAAAAATTAGATTCTGTTCTTTGAATGGTCATGCATGTCCATCCTTCCTGTATGTGTAAGTCATATTGTATAAACTGAAACATGGTGTTCTTCTCCTTTAAAAGCCCAGGGACAGGCCAGAGTTCAAGCCTTTGATCCTAGCACTAGGGAGACAGACACAGGTGGACCTCTGTGAGACTGAGGCCAGCCTGGTCTACATAGCAAGTTCTAGGCCACCTGGGGCTACAGAAAAATGCTGCCTGAAAAAAAAAAAGACACCCCCCACACACACACACACACAAAAAAGCCCAGGGATTATACCAAGAAAAAACTAGGACCTTCCTATGGAATTTATGCTGTGCTACTGAGAGATAATGGAATTAATTTAAAGGTTAGGTTGAAATTGCATTCTTGTTACACTATTTGGATACAGTAGTGACAGTTCTCGTGGTCTTAGCTATAAAACACAGAAGCCATGTGGCAAACCTTGTATTTATTCTCCTCAAAATCTACCTATCTAATTTCTCAGATTCATGAAATTCTAAATTCTTGAAGGCAAGAGCTTGCTCTTAATCAAATCTAAGTACTATACTAGTCTCATAGTTCTCAGGACTTGGTCCTTTTTTTATATATCAGACAGAGCTTAGAGCTAATGATTGCTAACATTTCAGCACCCAAAGTTCCTTTGATACTACTGTATCAGCTCTCTTTGTAAGTATTATGACTTTTCATTGCAACCTGATAATTTCAATCAACACTTACTCTTCTACTTAGCCATTGTAAATTAACGTGGCAACCAAAATGAGATTAATGAAAATAAAAGACCTGGCTTCCTGCAAAATGATCATCATTTACTTCCTCAGTTTGATTTCCATTCCCTTCCTGTGTGTACCTTACTTCAATGTGGCTACTATAAGATAATTCTTACAGCAGAAGTAGGAAGTGCCTCTCTGAGCAGAGAGGAATGAAAGTTTAAAGAGCCTTTTGTCTGTCCTAGGGTTAATTAGGGCAGCATGACTACTAGAGTTCTTTAATCTTTAAATGCCTCCCAACAGGAGCTAGGTAATTCCTATCCCAGTAATGGCTACTCCTGGGTGTGTTTCTGAAAAATATTCCCACAATCAAAGACTTGTTTCTGGGCCTTTCCTTCATTCACCTCAGCTACAGTTGTGTTGTATCATGGACTCATCACGTATCCCCAAAGCTAAACTATGAGCCTTTCCCTAATTTTCCAAGTGTCACTTTTCATTTTTTCTTCATGGAGTTGGAAAAGATTTTGGAAGTTGTGCTGATTCAGATACTTTCTGTTAGTAACAGGGAAGGAAACAAAAACTAGGGAAAGATAAATTTATCAATTTGTATAAATTAAAGTGTCAAGAGTATGGTAGTCCAAACAGCATCAACTGGATTCATTTTAGAATTTGATTATCATACTAACCTCAAAGAAAAGACAATCTACATCCTGATAAGCTGATGGAATATCCCTAAGTTGAGTCTTGTAGCATTTTTTGGTCTGTCTTACCTGCTCCATCCTTGTAAATGGACAGATATGTGACCAGAATACTGGGTCAACCAACAAAAAGCTGAGGTCTCACTAATACAAAAATGGGACACTATACATTGAACACACCCAGATGCAAATGTCCACCAGAGGGTTCATCTTTAGCCTCCTGTACATTTTTTTCTACAATATCTTGGATAGTTCTGTGTTTGGACTTTTTCCAAAGCTAAGAAATTCCATGTATGAACATGTTATCAAAACCATTACAAAACCCCTCTTGATGTCATGAAGTTCTTTATGTGCTAGTCTACCCTCATCACCATAATTTAGAATGGATTTTCTCCTTCTTCTCCATGTCTGTAATTGTATCTTTTCAAATATTTTATTTATTGCTTTTATATTATGCATATGAGTGTATTGTCTGCATGTATTGTCTGCATATATGTAAGTGCATCCGTGTTGTGCCATGCCTGTGGAGGTCAGAAGAGGGCGTTGGAGCCCCTGGAACTGAAGTTACGCACAGTTGTTAGCCGCCATATGGAT